CCAGGTTAACCCGCGCGGGGCTGGGGTCTCCAGCCGAACGCGCGGGGCTGGGGGGGGGGGGTAAATTTTACCCCCCCCCCCTGTTATCTCCCGAACTAATGGTCCGATTTGGAAAATTCAAACGCCAATCGAAAGATCTCATCACGAACAAATAAAAACATGTACTTAATTTAAAGTTTGAGGTCAAGGTCAAGGTCAGGTCAAGGATACAAATTGCAAGTTTCTACAGTATCGGTCTTGCACCGTAGTTGCCGAAGAATGGAGTCATCGACTGAGACTGATTGCCCAAAACGTGTTCTTAGGCTACCAAGACAATATTCGTTGCATACAATATCATTCAGAGGTCAAGGTCAAGGTCAGGTCAGGTCAGGTCAGGTCACCAAAAAACAAAATATAGAAAAGGGCATGTGCGACACATGTTTTATGGGTCATTTTACTCATAGAATTCAATAGGCACACTCAATAAGTGATATGGACCACCTCTGGATGAATTTCAGGTCGAGGTCAGGTCAAGGTCAATACAATACAATACAATACAATACAATACAATACAAAGGTCAGGTCAAGTGAGGTCAAATTTTGAAGTTGGTTGTTAAGGCCTAAAAAGGTGTCTATCTGATGCAGTGTTTCACGGCGAATCGAATGATGCTATTTTTGTTTCCGTACGAGGTCTAGAACTTCCAAAAAATCATTTTTCAAAATTTTTGTGTGTCGTGACGTCATAAAATTTTGAATAACTCCCACATTTTTTAACCGATTCTTCTAAAAATTGGTATGTAGGTGCACATATACCACTTCTCTGATATATATTCCGTTTTTTTTTGACACACTCAAAATTTTGGATTTTATAACTATTTTCCCCAAAAAAGTCAGTTTTTTTTAAACAAATTTGGGCCAAAATCCAAAATTTTCAAAAAACCGAGACAGCCATTTGATAGACAAAGTAGAATTACGTATAACCTTTTTTGTTACGTCTTGATTCCTTTAAAAATGAAGATGTTAGCGGCGTTTGAAGTTTTGCCGTTTTTGAGGCGAAAATGGCGAACATGACGTCACTAAAACGTCAATTTCTCAAAAATTTTCCGACGGATTTCGCTCAAATTTCAGGGAACGTGTCAAATTGATGTAAGAAAAGGTACGCGCCGCCGTTTTTTGAAATATTGCAAAAATTCGCGAGGGGGGGTAAAATTTACCCCCCCCCCCCAGCCCCGCGCGGGTTAAGATAATTCTGCACGAATCAGGCTCCCTCGTTCGGGCTGGACGTGACCTTTATACGACGTGGGTGCCTCTTCGGGAGCGGGCCCATCGTGTGGCGGGGTGACCGTTGGAGGGGCTTGTCGAGTTGTCCCATGTCCACTGAGACGAGCTCAGTCCCGGTAGAGCACCAGGGTGCCTGCCCAGACCAACGTCTCCAGACCCCGTTATTCCTATCATCCTTCCGGCTCTGAAAAGGTACTGATGAGGCCTAACCCCGCTAAAAAGATAAAAATATAAATAATGTCTATTTACTACAGCATACTTCAGCAGGTAAAAAGTAAAAACAGACAGCCAGCTTTATACCGATGATATACCAAAAATCGACGCCCAATCAGACAGCTGTCTGACGCCGACGGCAAGCGAGGGTTCCCTGCCGAGCAGCGGCTGTCGATTAAACAACAGCTCTTCTGCCGGCGGCATCAATGGCTTAACTTCGGGCCATCGATTTCCTAAATATAAGCCCAGGATTTGGTCGCAGAAGCAGAAGCCAGGAAATGGTGTTCCACCGAGCGCGGCCTCGGGTACGACCGGGACTCGAGCAGGAAGGTCTGGCCATCTCTCTGATTCTCGGAAAGGTTTCTGGACGCTGCGGGAGATAAGTGATGCCCACTAGAGTGTATCGATAACCGAAATTTGCAAGGAAACTGGCATATTATTTGGCGCAAGGACATAAAAATAATATCTGGGCGCAACATTTTCCTCAAAACTCAAAATTGACTGACCCGGAACGGTTTTTGTAAACCCCATTCCAACTGCTGCGGACGTAGGATGAAGCTTTAGTTCTCCCCTTTTGACGCTAGATGGCAGTGATTCCAGACTGTCTCTAACTTAATTTCAGACATCTGTAAACGTAAAAAAAGCCATTCGGATTAAATTATGCACATTTTTTACATCATTGGTGTTGGTATATTGCTGTTTTTTCCATTGCAAACGCATAGCTTTCCACACATTATCACACATAACACAATACACATTACCTATGCATTAGCGCCCTGAGCTCTTAAACACGAACAAGTAAATAGCAGATTAGGCAACTATTAGCAACTGAGCTCCTGCCGCATCGTACTTTAAGGACTACATATAGCCGGTACAATTGTGTTACCAGCGACCAAATGTCAAAGTGGACACTGGTCAGGTGCTCGGTAACTGGTGACTGGTGAGCCAGTTTGCTTTCTGTCCTATATTACGACTAATTCACCATCATCCTTGCTTGCACTTCTCCGTGTTCCGGATTAACGGTCCGCCTAGCAGACAACCGATGGAAGTCAGCTTCGGAGTGACCATTTCAACAAATGTATGCTCTAGTCTGTCCCGTTGTGACTTGCCGTCAAAACAGTATGTCCCGGCGCTGAAATGCCGTCCCAGCGGTACAGCGGACTAGTCGTCAGTGGTTGATTGAACCGATTGAGCCTTGGTTGATTGAACCTTACATTGCCCTCTCCCTCTCGTGTTTTATCATCCCAGCATAGCCTGACTCAGACCATTGCAGCCATTATGGTGTCTTTTGACTGAGACGCTGCGGCACACAGCCGGTGCCCGATGGTCGACTTTATTCTGACATTGCCCTCTCCCCGCTAATTCATTTATTCATCATACCACGGCCCTAAAATGTTCTCGAATAGACTAACCCATAGGCTCTAACCAAGCATAACGAACAAAACCACTTAGCAGTCTCCGAACGTCTGCTGTTAAAATTAGTAGCCAGTAGGTGAAACCGAAACCGACGAGTGGCCACGTCAAGCGGTCCCTCAGTGCCCCAAAGGTGGTCACTTTCGGGGTAGAACTTGTCACAACTCAGCCTATCCTACCGGACTGGCGTGGGCTCCTCTCTTACCGCGCGGCGAAGACGGTGAATATCGTGCGCTGGTAGTATTACATACAGCTCGCATCCCAAATAAATAGTTACTGCCGGCGAAGGCCCAACCATTCACCGTACTATGGTGCAGGTCCGGTGACTTTCCCGCCGCCCGTGTCACCGCGACCAACGGCGGCGACAGTGCCGTCACCGGTCCCCTCGAGACCCGGCGATGCCGTCTGTATTTGTTTGTTTGTTTGTTTTGTTGGGTTAGGCTCTTTCGGTCCGACAAGCCCATTTCAGAGCCGGAAGGATGATAGGAATTAGGGGGTGACATTGGTCTGGGCAGGCACCCTAGTGAGTCGCCGGGGCTGAGCCCGTCCAGAGGACAGGCCACCCAGCCCCAAAGTACTCACTGCACCCGGCTACGGGGGTGCGCTCCCTCGGGAGCCGCGGTGCCGCTCCAAGGGAGCAGCCCGCATGAGATAAAGTTCCCTGTCCAGCCCGGAGGGGGTTTCGGCGTGGAGGAGAAGGATTTCAGTATCCTGAGGATGGAAGCACGGAACGGGTGCCGTCTGTACCGGAACAGCGCACTATCTGTACCCGAACAGGTGCGTCTATGTAGGTGGAATAGGCATACTACCAAACTGATCTGCCGCATGCGAGAGACGGCTACAGTCAACCAGGACTCGTGAGTCTGCGGTGTTTTAATACAGGATCACATGCAAGAGCCCGGTCACCGGCACAGATTGACTGTCAACCAGTCCGTGATATGACCCCTGCTGTAGCTAGCTCACGTTCGGGCCCTGCTCGGCGCACTTGCCGAGGCCAATGACGAGACCGACTTTTACGTCGGTCCTTCTCCGCCGCGCCAACCGAGTTAATAAAATACCTTTCACCATTGCTTTCATACATAATCCAGAATCCTATTATTTGACTCATGTGCCGTACACACTTTGCCTCTGGTGCCGCTCAGCCGTTTCAAGCGTCACAGGCACTAAATGAAGAGCTCTTTGCTAACTGACGGTGAACTGGGCTGGTGCGCGATAGGCACTGGTGTACGCAATGCACTTTAGTTTTTAGGGTATTTCTATTACTTTGCTCAAAGGTAATGGCCATTTGTGACCCAGACAAACATACAGTGATCATAGAACAGGAGACATGAGAACAGCACGAAAACATAGCGTAGGAGAAAAGTGCATAGATGCGGTTTGATACTGTTAATGATAATGATACAGATATGGGCATTCAAAGTCCATTCAAGCCTTCCAACGCATGTAACGCTCTCCTATACACACCAAGGTATAAGATAGGTTTCGATCTGCCCCAGACAGAACAGGGCCTAGGCCGAGAGCCGAGGGCAAAATAGGCACATGTGTAGCTAAAACTCCACACTCCCCGTGTGTTTTGTTATTCTATACTATGAAGTATGTCAAAGGAACCTCTAACTGTCATTTGAAGTTGTTAAACTAGACGTCTGAAACAAATTATTATGGGCAATTAAGGAAAACAAACGCTATTGAGTGAGTAAGATCAGCATCAGACACCACAAACTGTGTTAAAACGCCATGCCGACGCTAGCGCCACCTACAATTCTAGATGTCGCTAGTAGGTTATCCCATAGGAGCCCGTGTTACGGCGAGATGGTCTCAAAGAAGTGGGCGCGGACCAGAGAATACTGACCGCAGGACACCGATTTTGTGTTTTTCTTACTTACAAATATATAGCGCCACTTTATCTGACAGTTTCCTCTCAATCTGGAATAAAAACCCTCAAATCGATACACTCTAATGCCCACAGAACGCGCAGCCGGAAGGCACAGCTCAGACGGCTGGGAGAGCTGTCTTGTGGGATGGTGATGATCAAGGCCATACGCGACTCCAGTCCGAAACGAGGAAACCCTTGGCGAGGGCACATCGGATAAATGTTGAAAGTTTAAATGTAAAAATTCTGGAGCGTGCACTGGTTGATTTGTCGTATGAACGGTCTGATACGAAAACAGATCAAACTACATACCTAAATTCATACAGAAAGTTAAAAAGTTTGCTTAGATACTACGCTATGGCGCTAGTTGACCAAATTGCAGTTCTAATAAGTGCCTTTCCAATCCATCGATTTAGCTAGAGTTCAATCATTATGGGTAGTTCCATTGCAATTATTCTAATATTTTTAACATGCTTTAGATGCACTATTCCGGTTCGATGAAAGCTGCCAATGAAATACTGAGGACTGGGGTCAATGCTTGCTTGGATACAAACGCTCTGCCAAGACAACTAGAGACGCATTCGAAATGGACGAAATCATAGCTATAAATGAGCGGCACACACTTTCGCCTCTTATCTACTTTATCGACAACGGACCAAATCAAAATTTCCTTGAAGTTATATGGATTCATGGTCTTGCATGTTTCACTCTGGGAATTTGGGCAGTTTATCGACAGTGATCTTCTCCACCACCTCTGCGATCTCCAGCTGCGTCATGGTGCCGTCCACCTCCTGCACGTCCTGCTCCAGCAGCGCCAGCGCTCCCTGCAGCTCGGCCTGGCGCCGCGCCACTGTCACCCCCACCCGGCGCGGATCGTCGTCCGGGTGGCGCCGCAGGCGATGTCTGACCTCTACCGGCAGGTGGAGGTCCTCGGTCAGCGTCACCACCAGGCCAGAGGCGGGCTCGTAGCGGCGCGAGGTCAGCCGCGCCACGGCCACCTTCTCCGGCACGTTGAGGTAGATGACGCGGTTGGGGAAGACGTCTGACTCGCTGAGGTGTTCGGCCTGCGCGCTGTCGCGAGGGAACCCGTGCAGCACCCAGCCCTGCGAGCGGCAGTCGTCCTCGGAGAGGCGCTGTCGCACCAGGGAGAGGATCAGCTCCTCGGGCGGCGTCATGTTGCTGGCCAGGAAGTCGGTGATGGCCAGTCCCTCGGCGGTGCCGGCGCGGATCGCGGCGCGCACCAGGTCGCCGCAGCGCACGTTGATGAGACTGTGCTTGGCGGCGATGCGGGCCGCCTGTGTGCGCCTTCCCGAGCCGGGGACGCCCAGTAGAAGGACACGCAGCACAAGTGGGGCGTTCTCGCGGCCGCGGCTGTGCACAAACTGCAGCACCTGGTTCCGCAGGCCCTCCCCGCGGTAGAAGACGCGCGCTAGTGGACCGCAGTCGGCGAGCATCCCGCGCACCCGTCGTGCAAACTGCTTCGCCTCGGCGTCAGCTCCGCGGGGTAGCTGAAACCTGGCCGGTTCGGGTCTCTTCACAGCCGCCTCTGAGATGAAGACGACGTGGCTCGGCAGCACGCCGGCCATCTGAAGCTGTAGCATCTCATCTCGACACTGAGGTACTCCCGTCAGGATCCAGCCATCCCGCAAGCAGTCGTCCTGTTTCACCCGCCGCGCTACGATCTCTGCAAGAAGCTTCGGCGTCACGTTTCCTCCGGAGTCTTGTAGACGTTCCTTCAGATCTGCATGACTCTCTGTGACGCCGTAAACGGTCTCGTGACGCGAGAGAACCATGGCATCCGTTTGGATGTTGAGGTCCATGGCCAGATTCATAGCCTCATCCTGATCGTAGCTATTGATCAGGATTCGAGGCACTTCTGAATTTCGATTCTCACGTCTGAGGAAGTCGACGAGACAGGCGAGCGGATCGGAGGGCATCGCAGTCAGCACCTCTTCGTACATGCGCTCAATCAGATGATGCACATGATGTCTGTCTAGGTAGTCGACGTACTTCTGAGGGATCTTCAGCGGTCTTTGCGTGTGGTCAGTCATGATCGTTTTCTATTTGACTATTTTTGTGAACCGAATAAGATTTGAATCTCGGACATCGAGGTTTTGTTGCTTTTACTATTCAAATGCAAGTAACGCAAAGAAAAAATGCGAAGAACAAGTTACGATGAAAATCATATATGAATTACACGATCAAGTTTCAGCTGGTTAAATCATTCAAATGATGCTAATTTGGACCAAGAAAACTTTGCACTTGTTTACAAGCTTGTGACAGACGAGTGGACTTATGCAAGCGTTACGACACCTCAAGAACAAAAACAATCACAAACAGCTCCAGCCATGCTTTCACTCAGTCTCCGTTGTTCTCCAAAGGTCCTTGGTATTCATGGTATTCATCGTCATCATCGTCTTCATTGCGTTTTGTATGTTGGTGAGATACTTGAATTCCTGATGCTCTCTGAAAAAAAAACGTGAGCTTTTTCTCGGTACACTTTTGGAGTTTGTTTTTTTTTCGAAAGAAGTAGGAGGTCGCTCTTCTGAGCGTTAATTCTATTGTCTAGATATAAAGAAGAATATATTTTTCTACTTAAATTCAAAGGGTACATCAAATTAAGATTCTTTTTTTTTCAAAACAGCCTACTCATTGGAATTTCAAATACAACCATCACACTCAAGAAGCAAACGCTACCCCAGTAATAATCTAAAGCAAGCGTCGTCCGTTTATCGTAGTTCCGGTGCCAGAATATCTCCCCGGTCGCCGTCCGCAGTCCTCATACCGCCTGCTTACACATTCAGGACGTCTGGGTCGAGCTGAGCCGCCGCCTCGAGCATCTATCTCCTCAAAATCAGCGAGCCATACGGGTCGGCCTCTCTCAGGGAGATGCTCCAGCCCCCGAGCCCGGCTCCCACTTGGCCGAGCAGCGCTGTCGCTGCCTGCTGTAATTTACGGCGGAAGCGGTCCCAATGACACTGTTTTGAGCGGGGTCGAAGCAGCCAGCCACCAGGACTGCAGAAATGAACAGGATCACCTGCCACGCTGAGCCAATGACGTCACTAATACCATTGCTATATTAGGCATGACATGGGGTAATGTGTCGCTAGCGGGTCGAGCTGATGGCGTCATCATACTGCTTGTTAACTAGAAGTACCTTGTCGAGCGGCGGCGTGGCTGGGTCTTATAGTTGATATGTAAATAGTGGGGTGGTGGTTTAACCCTCGCATGTGTAGGGGGGGGGGGTCGGATGGACCCCCCCCCATGGTTTTTCGCGAATAACTCGCGTAAAAAGCGGCCGATCGCGACGAAACTTTCAGTACCCTCGCATTGATCAATTTTACACCTACCCTGAAAATTTCATGACCCTGACCCAAATGACCTTTGACCTGTGACCTCTTTTCCGAGACCATGTTTGGCCGGAATCGCGATTTAGCGTATGTCGGCTCGCACTAGCCGCGTGTTTGCAAGCTTTTCGTGGTTTCAAACGTTCAAACATGTGATTTGATGTTACTCCCGTGTGTGTCAAGGTCACCTGAAGGTCAGGTCAGGTCATTGACCTTTGGTGACCTCGGGTGACCTCGGGTCACTTTTTCGAGTTTTACATGTTTCTAGGCTAGTTTTTGGAGCTGAATTCGAATTTAGCAACCATTTGAACATTTACGAAGTAGTTTTGGTGACTTCGTAACATGTTACGAAGCTGTCAGAGGCGGTTGACACGTACTACGAATACCCGTCACGACGCCTACTGGTTGACCTGACCTGACATGACCCGACCTGGTCTAAATGCTTCAAGACATCATCTGTGATCAAAACTAACACGATATTCGTGATCAGCACCCCGAAAAACCCCTTAGCCGCCACACTTTACGACTTTCTAACAGGTCCCGATTTTCCCGACTTTGGGTCATTGACCTGACCTGGAAGGTCAACCAATGACCTAGGACCTTAAAATTGGGTATCATCGGCTTCCTCTCGTCACGGGCAACACGCTCGTTTTTTCCGCGAAGCTCTAGCTCAATCAGGGGCCAAACGGCAAGGGGGGGGTCCAACCGACCCCCCCCCCCCCTACACATTAGAAGCTGGAAAACGCCGCACACATGCGAGGGTTAATCCAGTGCTCCTTGTGCTTAGCCACAAACGAGTCACGTTTCATAAGATATACGGACCAACGCTGGTTTCTTTCTCAGGTCACCCAGTCAGAGGTCAATGAAGCTAGTCAAGGACCCAAAGGTCGTATTACGGTTTCGGGTCAGAAAAAAAACATCGGAGTCGTCACAGAACATCGGTCATACTCAGACCAGTCGAATGGCATATTTTTTTTAGGTCGACTCACCTAAAGTCAGGCTCAGGTTAAAGCTGACCAGGTCAAGAATTCGTTCGAGGGGGGTCACGCTGCATGTAATTCAATTTGGTTGTACGTTGCTGAGGAGCAGGAGCATCTTAAGGAGCAGGAGCATCCTAAGTGGGCAATAATAATCTGTTGGAGGGAAGACTAAAAACAAACGGAGGAAAAATTGCTTACGAACACACATGCAAATATACCTTCGCAATTCACATTCCTGTTTTATTTTCTTCTGCGACAGTTGCTCCATATCTTCACTGACCACCGTATCGTCGTTGCCTGAAGCATGCATTTGCTACGTTGCATGCAATTTGCTCTATACTGGCGCTCTATCAGCGGTGGATCCTCTGAAATTCTAAGCAGTCCAATTAACTCACGCAGATCTGCCAAATGGGTCAAATAATCATCAGTTGCAGCTCCGCCGATCCTAACCCAGTACTGCCGTCTAATTTGGAGCGGCGCCAGGTTTGTGCTCGCCCTCAGCTTTTAGCCGGCGGGGTGAGTTTCGTACCGAGTTATCCAGCAGCTCACCGCTTGGCCCGGCTCCAGAAAACGGTGGTGGTAGTTAGGGGCGATTTTATCTCCTGCCTCCACTCCCGGTTTGATTTTCCGCGCGCGTGGTTGACTGCGTGCGTTGGGCTGGCCGAAAACACGGCCGCCGCTCGAAATCGATGCGCGGGCGGGAATTTATGATTTTCTGATCGGGTGGGCAGGAGCGGCATGGATTTTCGCGACGTGATATTTTGCGGGCTGTTTCCAATCAGCAGCGGTGTAAACTGGATGTTTTCGAAAGGTCGCGTGAATTCTTCAGAGGCGCCTCCACCTCATCCTGCTGATGCTTCTGTATAAAGGTCTGCTCTCAGTAGAATATGGAACGTTAGGTGCTTCATAATTATTTGTCTAAAGTGTCTTTGAGTAGAAGGTATAGGTTGCGCAATACGATATTGCATGCTTAACACGCGCACTGCAGGGGGGGTTGTTTTCAACCCCCCTGTGGTTTTTCGCAAATCGCGAGAAAACGGCGGCGCGCAGCGCCGCCAAATTTTGCATACCTGTTCTCCCAACTTTTGCACACCTTGAGTAAAAATTTTGACCCCAGGTGACCTATGGTCAGGTCACCAGGTCAGGTCAAGTGATCCTACCTCGAAACGTAAATTTCGAAGTTTGCAATCCCACCAAGCCCACAGTTGTTGAGATATGATCTTGAAACCCACAGGAAATAGTAAAGTCATCACGAGCTACAACTTCTATATCTCGGAATTTTTATATCGATGACCTAAGGTCAGGTCATTTTTGCGACCGGCCCATTATAAGTCAATGGGAGAAATTTCAACTTACTCTGAATGCCATCCTATGACTTCAATACGCTGAGGATCATAGTATTACAGGTCCCTGTTGGTGATTTCACCGAAACATATCACTTATGACCTTTGGAAGGTGATCTCCAGGTCATCTTAGGTCACCTGAGGTCACCAGCGGTTTTTCTTCAATAACTTGAGATTGAATAGAGATAGAGACTCCGTTCGACGTTTATCGTGTTTTTTTTTTTCTCGTCAATGCGGATCGAATGATATGCAACATGACCTATTTCGGTCAGGACATGACCTTGACCTGAGGTCAAGTTTTCAACTTGACCTTTCGAGTTCATATTATATATCATTCGATGCGCCTTGACGAGCTAAGAACGATGGCGTTCGAATTGATCCTCTAGCGTGTGTGCAAGACAAGTTATTCAAGAAAAACTACCGCGAAATTCCTGTTGTGAAAATCGTAACATTTTGTCTTCGGTGACCTCTGGTGACCTCGTTTTTGACCTGAGACAAAAATGACCTAGTATTTCCTCTAAAGAGCATCTCCACCTATCTAACGCCGTTTACCGTTTGTCGCTACGTTGCGCCGTTTTTGAGATCTCAGGGGGGGTTGTTTTCAACCCCCCCCCCCCCCTGCAGTTCGTGTTCGGCTCAGACCCGCTGCAGTGCGCGTGTTAAAGTGTGATAAGAAATGACACCATTGTTGCTGTGTTGAGATGAATTACAGGTTAGTTTTTTAAGGTCACAATTTTTTATTAAAGGTAGGCATTTTTGGCGTACTGCCTCTTGATTTCCGCAGCCATTCCTCTGAAGCTCCCTCATTCACGCTCAGTTGTTTGTCTATTCATATATTCATGGGTGCCGTCTTGGGCGATCGCCTCAAATAAACTCTCACGTTGTCGCTCGACATTTCAGGGCGCCAAGAGCGGCCGGCATAGAGCGAGGCAGATGGCAATGAGCACTGAGCAGTCTGATAAAGGTGACAAAGACGTGTAACACTTTCATAATTATCGTTGTCGCCAGACAACGTTGCCGATAATACAGCTGTTGAGAAAGAAGTCTTGTTATTGAAATTTGATCCTTGCTTCTGTCGAAGAGGGGTTGACATAGGCGGCGGAACGGGGAGGGCACCGGGGCACCGTGCCCCTCTTTGATTTTGACATTTTAACATTAGCCCTATGGTCGTTGCATGGAAAGAATGGGACCAAAAGTCGGCAGTGCCCCCCCCCCCCCTCCCCCTTAATTGAAGGTGTTCCGCCAGTACTGGGGATTGACAGCGAATAACGCTTAGACATGGTGCAAATAGCATTTACCTCAACGACAGCAAGTGATGAGACACTTCGCGCACAGTAATAATTGAACTTACCTCTAATAAGCGAGGCTACGGTTGTAAACTAGTCATGTTAACTTATCATTATGTTATAAAACATAAACAAATTATACACGCAAAGCATGACCGCGCATTTATTCGTATGATCGAGTAAAAGATGAATCGTGTGACACGGGTAATTGATCGTGGTATCGTATATTTGACTTCGAGGCCCATCAGTGTAACTCAATGAGGTCTGTGCGCTGAACATGTGGACTGGAGCGACCGCCATTCGCCACCTCACGAGCCATGCACCGGTACAGTGTTTTGTCTCTGGTGCCGGCGAAACCCCGTCTTGATGCAGTTTCGGCGTCAGACACGTTAGATTCAGCATCATAAATCATTTGAGAATGCGTGAGAGCTTCCGCGCCAATAAAACTGATCCAGATTTATATTGAGTC